TAAAACACCAAACATTGCAGCAGAAACGCTTTGCTATACAATACAGCATCCAGCTGTTTAATAATTACTGAGCTAATAATTGAATCCACACATTTGATTGGATTCAACTCTTTACACTAGTCACACATTCTGGCACATTTTTAATGAGCAGGATACTGCTCACAGGTTTGAGAATCAAGATTTATTATAAAATGTTCTTATCATGCAATTCTGTGCTGAACTTGAACAAATCAATCATAAGACACAAAATAATCTGATTATAATAGTGTCACTATAAACTTAAATACATACAGACAGAAATTGTTTTCAACATCACACAAATTGAAGAAAATAAATCTTTAAATCCCAAAATTCTAAATATAAACTAATATTCTAGTCATAATAGGGTGGCATAAAGTAAGATCTCAAACATTCCAAGCAGAGTAAAAGCTGTCTATTTCTTTTTTTTTTTTGGTTGAAAAAAAAAAAAAGTAAAGCCAGACAGGAATTGAATATCTCTTGTGGGCCAGTACGTTCAAACCAGTATTTATCACTATTATTAAAAAAAATAAAAATAGTTTTGACATATTTGATGTTCCAACACCATGTCAGAATGCGTGTCTCGGCCCCTTGGACAGTAGGTTCTTGCCTCGTTACCTTGGAACATCACATCAGACGACCTTAACATTTTCATGTTTTACAAGATCATCCTATCGTGCAGAAATATCAGCACCAAGGTCATGCAATGACTTGGATCCTAATAAACCTTGCTAGCATAAATCATATTCAGCATTTACTGTTGTTACGGTTACTTTTTAAAGCCTGTTGTGGTAGGGTAAACTGGTCAGGGGTTATTTTGACATCATCATGGAGCTGATGATGTCAAAGGTGTGTTCCTAAATAAGGTGGTGGCTTGATGATGTGGCATCATCGTTGTTATGCAAATCAGGTTGGTTAAAGTTGGCCTTGTGTCGCTGAGGAAGGATTTTAAATGTCCCATGAGGAGGACAGAGAGGACAATTGGTGTTAGCATCCCAGGCCACCTGCTGCCTGCTGTGTAGCCAGGAGTCCAGTGGATTCCTCTGCTAATGAAATTTGACATAGTGGAGATGACAGGTGCCATGACAGCACTGTGCCAGGATCCAGTGGAAGAGGAGGGAACATGAATTCTTATAAGTTACCACACCTGTGTACCCCTGCTTCGCTGTTGCAAGAAGACGAATGGAGTGTGTATGTGATGGAGGTCCTGGTGATTTCTGAGTAGACAGGTGATACATCATTCAGCAGCAGAGTCCACAGGGGGATTCTCTCAGCAGAATAATGACAGGTCTGATGAGTGTCGCACATCTGAATAATCGTGTGGCATTAATGCATGGATGTTGAATGGACCTTGACCCGAGCTAGTTTATACCTTGTAGATTGAGGTTAAAGTCATCCTGCAGACTTCAGAGCTAAAGAAAATTGACAGCAGTGAGTTTGTCTATCCGTGTATGTGTCAAGGTTTCTTTCAGTTCGTGTGGCGTCTTGGCAAACTTGAACCAGGTTTCTGTTTTAACAATGTTGGGGGATTTTTTGTTTTTTTTTTCCATGTTTTAGACAGATGACCATAACCTAGAGGAATTTTTCTGCTTCCATTTACTCAAAAATATATATTCCACTAGGCTGCACTGTCCAGAACCAAACCTAATCATTTTATCTACATTATTTTTGGCCTTAGCATAAATAATCTTACAAAGTTAGAACCATTGTTGAAGCACTGTTTGGAAAACTATGGGTATGCACTCAACCAGCTGCCACACAGGTAGTTGCCTACAGCGCCAGCTACTGGAAGGGGCTATGACAAAAACAAATTAAAATAAGTGGCAGTAGGAGGCACCAAACTATGTTCACCATGTGCACCTGCCAAACTGGGAGGAGATGAATCAAAACTGCTCCTTTGCATTCTTTGACATTCTAGCTAACACATTTCTAGCCTGGTGCAGCTATTGGAGCTTAGCAACACTACCCTATTTTGTATAATTCTAATGCAACCTTGATCTAATTCTCACTTTTTTTTCAATTTTCATATTTCAATTTTCATGTTTCTTACTTTTTTTTAATTGCTCACATTATGTGGCTCGAGCATTACCTTCACTTCACAGGGGGGAGCTGTTTAGTATAGTTTGAATTCTCTTGTCTAGTTTAACTGTAAAGCTGTGCAGACAGATGTATCCCTTAAAGCTGTAAAGTGGGAACAGCTGGTCCTGTTAGGCAGGAACATATACTGTACACCTGAAGGTGGGAGGTGTAAAAAAAAACTGCATTGAGATGCCTGTTTTCTGGTCTTATTCTCTGGAGGAGGCAGTGGTGTGTAAGATATTGTATTTAGTAACCATAGTTACATCGTAGCCATGTTCAATCTTCATGATGTGCATGTAATGAGAATATAGACAATCTATATGGTCTTTTGATGCATGGTCTGCTGCCAACGTCCTGGAAAAATGCCCATGTGACTGTAATAAAATGAGCTCAAGCATGACCTAACATATGCAATTACAGTGTTAAATAATACATAAAATGAATAAAACGCTTTAGTAATCATCATTTTCTACTTACAATCTATTGAATTTGTCACAGTTAGCAGCAAGCCTGCAAATATGGCTGAACTTATTAATCAATGACGCCATTACAGACATTTTAATTAATTACTAAATGCTGCAGAAAACAACTCTATAAAAGCTGTCATTTTTTTCAGCCTGGCCAAAGAAACGCTAAACTATTTTAACTCTTTTAACACACAACATATTTCCCCCAGCTGCAGGAATTGCTTAATCTATAATATATCAACATTTAGGTACTTATTAATTATAATATTCAACATTGTCAGGAGATTTATATATATATATATTCTTATGCAGACTTCAGTTCCCGTTTTTTTTTTCTACCTGCTTACTTGAACTTTACTTTTTCCCTGACATGTTGATTTATCTATTTTAATTTAGACAGTACTACTCAGGCAGTCTGCCTGAAGAATGATAACTTATTTCCTTGGCGATAGGGGAGAAATAAACACGTTAATAAAACTGCTAACACAAGTACCATATGGGGAAATGACAAAAGTCAAGCACTTAAACTGCAAACACCGGATATAAAAGAAGTAGAGTTGTGGCGGTTCACGTCAGTTGCTTCTACTTTTTGATGACTTCTAAATTGTTCCTCAGAAATGATTCATATTATTCTGAGTTACAGTTATGCAAAGTAATGTTACAACAACAAATGTTTTATATCTTCTAAAAGGCACAGTTTGCCTTTTCTGGTGAAGAACTACAGCCATACAAATACACACTGATCACACAAACCATTTCTCACTTCTTACAGTTCATTAAGTTTACAAAACATTTACATTCACAGAATAATTTAAAATAAATCAACTTAGTATGTAGTTCACAGACTGTCAGGTAAATGTACTTTAATAACAAAAAATAGTGAACTCTATGTCTAAAGGGGACGCAGCAACAAATAACAGAGTCTACACTGGTTCCTAAAGTATTGACGAGAATTTTAATCTCTAACAAAAATGTAGCTCAGTTGTTGTTTCGATAATATATATACTTCAAGTTTCTTGTGATGAGATTAATTGTTTTATATTAGCAGCTTAATACATTAAAAAATATTGTTCTTTTCCGTCAATTTTCCAGAATCAAGGAGGAGGGTTCTTGTCAGTAAATGATGAAGTGACCTTGACTTCATTGGGCTGTGCCTTTTCCATTCACTCTCCTTTTACTTCTTTAGACTGGGTGGGGGCAAAACAATGGAGGTGAGAAACCACAGCATCAGATCATGTTCTAGAAAAGTCATGAACAGCATTAGACCCTTTACCATTTTGACAATGTATCTAGCACTGTTCTCCAGACTTTCAATGGACTGATCGAAGTGGAAATGTTGGTTTACCATTCTTTAATGGAAGCTGTAACAGTATGCAGACGATGAATAAGTAAACACTTGAGTTAACAAACAGGTTTTTTTATTGGTCTGTAGTCATGGCGACTTAATGAAATGAATTATAATATTCATGTATTGAATATTTCTTGTGACTGAAGCATGTGAGGATGTGAAGACATTCATTTGTCTACACAGGAGTGATATTCACCCATCCATGAACCAATCGGCTCAACTGTAATCCCTGTATGTACCTTTTTTTTTTTTGCTTGGTATTATCCATCTTTCTGATGGATTCTAATCTCACGAGTTCATCTTGTCTTTAAAGATCTAGTTATAGAACATGAGGACCCATATGACGTCTAACAATGTCATTCATATAATTTCTCGTGTGGTGTGGGTTAGATACGTTTGCATCTGCTGGGGCTGGTGTAAAGAGTGACCTTCCATCTGTTTGACATGCAGTTCAGCAAATTAAGTTCACATTTATGTTTAAGTTAGTGAGAAAAGGGCAGGTGTGTAGTGTGAGCTCACGACTCCGGCCAGACTGACTGGATTGACAATAGCATGGAGTGTCAGTTACTGGAAGATTCTGTCTATATAGCTTTAATAGTTAGAAGACAGTTAGATCAGATTAAAACTTTTGCTTTTATGTCATACTGGTTGGACGTGCATACCCACCCATATGTTTTGTAGATTTCATCCACTGTCATGTCTGTCTTGGCATAAATTAGTTGAAGTGTTTGCCTTTCTCAGCATCGCCCTGCTGTGTCATTATTTGAACAGTAAAACTAACACATCAGCATGATGTTTTTATATCATACTTTGCAAATATGTTAATATCTGACAATGTATATAAGTCATAAGGTTACAGTGAAAAATACTCAGTTTGACTGAGTTCTGACACTTTGAACTAAGATTTCACCTCCAACTTGTGAAGATCTTTGGGTTTTCAGAATGTATTGTGCCAAGAAATCTGCTGTCCTCTTTCTGCTAGCTCTCATGAACAGCTCTGCAGCTAGTGAGAAAAAACTGGATTTATCACTCATTCAGAACACACTTAGACAACACTGACAACTGTTCCATTGTGTTGTTTTTTGCAGGAGCGGAAGAAGAAATTCAAATTGACTGGGATCATAAGAAATGTAGGGACAATCCACCTGAGTCATGTGGACCTGGATGGTATCGACTGGACAGCAGCCGGTGTGTGATGGTTTCCCTAAACAGGGCCACTTTTGATGAAGCAGAGGTTTGTTTGGATCATATTTCACCATGTCACATGTATTAGTTTCAGATCTAAGCATTTTTATATTTAAACAAAATAGTACATATATATGTGTACATATACTGTATGTCTTTGTATGCTTTATATAAAGGTCATCAGGTTTATCAGTAAAAAATAAAACCACCAACTGTCAAAAAACAATTGACCTCACTAAGACTTTTAGACAAACACTGCAAGAAGTCAACGTTCATGATCCTTCAGGACCAGAGGAAAAATGTAATATTTAAAAAAATAATTGTTTTGTTTTTGTTTGTTTTTTTTCAGGTAATTTGCCAGAATAAAGGTGGAAATCACTTGTCCATCGCCGATGAAGCACCTCTGGCCACATTAGCATGCATCCTACACTTAGAGGTTTCCACTTTTAATCTACACTGGGTTGGAACAAAAAGAAGAGAGGTGAGAACCTGCAGGTCGTATTTGTTTGAAGACAACTACATCAGCAATGGGTCTGTTTTTAGATTTTTTTCTTGAGGACGACAGAACCCCAGTAAACAGGAAGAAGCTCGTTATCAGTAATGTCAGGAGTAAACACTGTACACTGAGTCACTGATGTTGTTTGTGTTTTATATTTAAGCACGGTTCTCCAGAGTTTCAGCAGACTGATGGAAGTGGAAAGTTTGAGTTACCATTTCGTGACACAGATAAACGCTATGACTGTATGGAAATTAGAGGTAGGTAAATACCTTGACTAAGGTCATAAAAGCATTAAATGTAAAAGTTTGTGTGGTTGTATAAACCAGCCTGGAGATATAATGGTTTATTTAAAACCATAAGGATCACAGTGATCAGCAGTTTTTGGCAAGTTTATATATATATATATATATATATATATATATATATACACAGAGTACTAGGAAATAATAAATGCTTTTTTTAAAATATGCCCTATACACACACCTGTTCTCTGCAACGATGCATTAGATGCACCAGAGTACTGTATAAGCTGCATTTGGTTATTTTTGCACACTAGTGTGTAAATATGATTGTATGAACTGTGTTAATTCTAACTTGATCTCTCTTTCAGTTAGCCAAAACATCACCATATTTTGTTCCCAGAGCTGGGCTCTGTTCCTGACTGCAGCATGTGAGAATGAAAGGACCTTTATTTGTCAAAAGAAGACATGAATCTGAAGTCTCCACTCTAAACACACCACTGTGGATATGGTTCAAAAATGTTACCACTTAGTTCATTACTTCCCTTCAAAGCTCACACTTCCATGCAATCTGCAATAAATGTTAAGTCAGCAACCGTGCTGCTTGTTTCATTACTGTCTGAGTTCACAATGACGACAGTTGAAGCCACTGAAGCCCGCTTCAATTCTGAGTAGGACAGACAGTAGTTTTGTTGTTACTTTTCTATTAAATTTCTTTCTTGATATTTAATATTGATTGATGGATGGATCGATGGATGAATAGCATAGGCAACAAGGTAGTCACCTAAGGCACTCTGCTGGAGAGTGGGAAAAAAAATACCAGTTATCTGCCAATAGCCCTTTATGGTAGCAAGGAGATTCCAATCCATTTGATATACTGTATCTACAATGTAAGGAAAATGTTCGTGTCTGGTAATGTAGTGTTTGGATCTGTAAGACGTTGAGGTTATGTCTACAGGGGTCATTTCTCTAATATAACACAGGGAAATTAAATAAATTGGTAAAACATTGAAGCAGATTTAAAGCAATTTGTTGTCATCTGCCCGTCACATGGCTGATAGACCTTTGTAGATACTGCAGCTCTGCACAGGCAGGTTTTTCTTTTAAAAAGAAAATGTTGCCAGTACACCCAGATTCCATTCCTCACCTGTCCATACACATTTAGCAGAACTTTGTTGAGTTATATGGATGAAAATCCACTGCCCAACTTCATTCCTCCACAAGTCTGTCCCTCAGACCTGGCTCCACTCTTCACTCCCTTGGTAACAGCCCCCACTTACTTCTTTCTATTTCCCTGCACTTCCTCCTTCACTATCTTTCCTCCACCTGTCCTCTTCTTTCATTTTTCTTTCCTTCATCATCTCCTCAAAGTGGTCCAACCAACTCCAAAACATCTCTGTCCATTATCAGCTAACCTGCTGCACATCATTTCCAGTCATATTTCTCTGTTGAGCAGCACAAGTCCTTTTTTCCTCCCCCAACTCTGGCAGCCAAAAAACTCATTGTAGAACTCTGCCTTTGCCATGCACCTTCACTTTCCATCCTCCTCTCCCTTCCCTCGTCTTTGCTGTTCGCCTCCATCTTGCTCAGGTGCCTGCTGCTATTTTTTCTGCTGCTATTTGCATATGCAATCATATACCATGTCTGGATCACAACTGCTTTTAAGAGGCGGAGAATATTCAGCATGAAACATACTTCCCTCGGTTTTCATACATAAAAAATTGATATAATTAGTCACTCCGTATGAGTCCTTTTCCCTGGTTTTACAAATTTTTCCATCTTCCCTGCTGCAGCAGCCGATCCATGCTGCACAGAACAGTGTGATTTTTTTTTAAGCATACGTCGTCTAAAATGTATAAGAATTTGTTCATGAATATTTCTTAGGAGAGGATGAATGGTTTCATAACAAATCAGTTAACCTATTTTGGTTGCACCTGTATGCAGTCACCCAACCGATGTACAGAAATCAGCACTTTAGCGGCCATGTATATTTTTCTGTCGGATTTCCTTCCTGTTAAAGAGACAACGAGAACATGTTTTCCTGTTGCTTTATCCTTAATATCATGCATATAGATGCAGAGAGAAAGCTGAAAGAATGAGAACAGCGTGAATTAATCTTGTTTTTTTTAATTTAGCAAAATTTCCATTCTGCACACAGTGAGGCAGCTACCACCCATGGTACATTTAAACATATGCCTTTACAGATATTAATATCAGATTTTTTTTTTTACAATTCATTCACCTGGAAATATTATCTCTATAATAACAACCATGAAATGATACCAAATGTTTCTTCATGATGTTTTAGTGATTGTTGGGACTCCGTTTCTCAACTTCCTCATTGTCCGGGGGCCACTTTTCTCCGACTATTCAACTGATTGATCAAGTAACGACTTTGACAGTTTGATGGCAGTTTGACTGATGAGAGACCCTGGCTATATCCCACCTGTCATGGTGGAATGAATTGTCCATCCTGTCAAAATCACCTTTGATCTTGTCAGATATAGTGGATATAGTGTGGATATAGTGGAAAAGCAGAGAGAGGAGAGGCAACATCAAACATGTTACAGCTGAAATAATAAATTCACCATTACGTTCTTTAAGTCAGTCATGTTTGATAGAATCTCTCAATTTTTAAGTCACCTTTGTGTGAGCCACTTTGTAATGTTTACTAGTTTTTTACTAGACTGATATGTTCTTCCAGTGACGGAGTCACATTATCTATACTGTGCTCCTTCAGTCATATTTAATGAGGGCTTTGTGTATATGTCCCCACTATTGATTCCTGTTAGACTGTGTGTGCATGACCTTTTCAACATTCAGGTGTTGATCTGCAGTCTAATCTGTCATGGGAGTTTAAGTTGCCAGGAAAATTTAAACAAGTTCATCCCAACACAAACTCCACAGTGTCAGTGATCCTAAACTGCTGGCGAAGAAAAAGGCCAGTGTAGTGTGATCTGAAGACTCCAGTCTGAGAGCCCTGACTGGTAATAGCTCTGTGGCATTTCTTATAAGGGAGATTATGTGGTAAAGCATGGGGAAGAAACACTCTAACAAATGCAGGAACCTTAGTCAGCTTCTCATTGACCAAGCATTCACAGCTGAAAGATGTCGAGAACAGATTAAAACCTTTGCCTTTATTTCATACTGGTTTGACTCTCACATCCACTGATTAGTTCAGCAGATTTCACTGTGAGAGTTTTTTTTATAGTCCAGGTCAGTGTTAACACAGCCTGTGCTCCCTGTGGAAACACATTCACTATATCCAATAGCACAGTACAGGCCAGATAATGTGTGATGTTAGAAGTGTCTTCTTGGAAAAGTATTTGAAAGACAACCCGGAGGAACACTCTGTAAGACAAGGCTGTTTAACTGTTATACATTTAATTGGGTCAGATTTTCAACCCACTAAATTCAGCGTGTAAACTGGTTGATTACTAGAAGTAAAATTGAACCAATAGTTAGGAATGTATTGAGTAAGTAGTTAACGTTTTTAACTTTAAGAGGAAAGAATGATCATTTTCTGCGTTCTTCATAAACAGACACATTTAAACAAAAGGAAATCCATCCTCTGCAATTAATCCATTAACCCATTCTTAGGGAGCAGTGATTGCTTTCAGAAGTGTCCAGGGAGCAAGGGAACCCAACAGCCAAGGCAGGATTTCAATCTGCAATCCTCTGATAAGCTGATCTTCTCCCTCTAGGTCCCAAGCTTGATGATTTTTCAAAAATATATATTTTTTTAATGGGGCATTTTGCATAGAGACACTAGAGATACTACTCACACTTTTGGACACAGCTCCTCTCCACAGCCATGTGCGTGAATGTTGCAGTGGTGGCTTAGCGCTTAAGCAAGCGGACTAGGGTCCAGAAGGCTTCAGGTTCGAGTCCAGCTGCCAAGTTACCACTGAGGTTCTCTGAGCATGGCACCGTCCCCACGCGCTGCTCCCCGAGCGTTTAAAGTTGCCCACTGTTCACTTTGGTGATGGGGTAAAAGCAGAGGTCACATTTGGTTGTGTTCAGTTGTGTGCTGTGTCACAATGACAAGGAGTTCTCTAATCTCATCTACCTCATTGCTGAGGTGGAGTAAGTGATAATCTAAGTGATGTTGCAAAGCTATGGAGAGTATCTTGCATTCTTGTTCTCTCTCTCTCTGTGTGTGTGTGTGTGTCTCTCTCACTCAATCAATCAATTTTTATATATTCAATTTTACATATATTTAAATTTAAATACTTTAATTAACTTTCACCACTTCAGTGGCAGTTCTTGTGGCTTGAGCCAGTCACTGCTTAAATGATAGCTGATCTTTAGTTTACACGAGTAGGGGCCACTCAGCTCAAAACACTAGTTTAAGAAAAAGAAAAATCTCTGTATGTCGACTTTATGGAAGTTGGAGTAAAATTGCATGAAGAGTCTTAAAGTGTCAGCAGGGAATGGCCTGTGACCACAGACTGACAGTGAAAGGACTCTGCTGAAAAGGGAACCGGTTTCCCATTAGAGATAGTTTAATAGCGCTCACTGTTCTACTGGATGAAGACGACACACCAGGAGAAATGTCAAAAGTCTAGACTCTAGTGTGAGACTGTCCAGACTCCAGTAGTCTGCCCAGAATGTCTTTCATTTCTCCTGCACATACAGTACAGCTGACTTTGTCCAGTCCACGTCTTGGTTAAAGGTAATCTGTTGAATCTGATGAATAACAAAGTAGCTTTGTTATTCATCTGCAGGGATGCTACCAGCTGTCTTTGCCCCCCACCCCACTCCCCTTCCTTGACTGGTTGTGTGGACACTTCAGGATGAATAGTTTATTAGTGGAGAGTAAGTGGCAGTAATCGTACACAGAGCTTCTGTGAAACATAAAAACTTCAGTTTTTTGTGTTGAGAAATGCATTTGAAAATAGTATTTTTATGAGACTACTGTGTCACACTGGTTGTTGTTGATGGGTGGTTACTGCTGTTGTGTTACAGCAAAAAGATCAGTCGTT